TTCCCCGTCCAGCCAGAGACACTGAGAACAGTCCGCCCCACAGGCCCAGCGCAGGAGCCCGAAGCTGCTCTTTTCCACGGGAATTCCCTTTTCTGGGGGCCGGGAGGCACCCCGTGCCCGGGCTTGAAGCACTAGGGAGGAGCGCTTGGGGGCGCGGAGCAGAGCGAGGCCCACAGTCTGGATGTCCGTTCTGACGGCAGCCCCTTGCGGCGGCCCAGACGTGGGGGCCCCTCCCGGGGCTGGGGAGGGACACGCGTGCCGGCGCTGGCTGCCGTGACCCACTCTGGGAGAGCTGGTTGCCAGGCACATCAGTGACCTGTGCCTTGCCTGGAAGACCCTGGCCCCGTGTGTCCACTCCGGCAGCGCACACAGCTCCCCGGGCACGACACGGAGGACACCGGCCCCCCTTCCACGCGGACGCTAAGCAGGTTCAACTTGAAAAGGGCGATCATTTTTTCCTCCCGACTCGAAGCTCCCCGTGTCCCCATCATGCTTCCTACACTTACTAATTACGTTGAAATAGGTACCTATTGAAGCGCCTGGGTGGCTCAGCAGGTTAAGCGTCTGACTTTTGGTTTCAGCACAGGTCACGATCTCAGTTTCATGAGTTCGAGCCCCACATCGGACTCTGCACTGACAATGCGGAGCCTGCTTAAGATTCTCTCTTCTTTCCTCTCTCTGCCTTTCCTCCGTTCCTATTGTCTCTGTCTCTCAAAATAACTCAAAAAAGGAGAGGGGTGGTGCCTTGTTGGCTCACTGGGTTAAGTGTCAGCACAGAGCCTGCTTCAGATCCTGTTCTCATCTCTGCCCCTCCCCTGGTTGCATTCTCTCTCTCTCTCTCTCTCTCTCTCAAAAATAAACAATGGGGCACCTGGGTGGCTCAGTCGGTTAAGCATCCGACTTCGGCTCAGGTCATGATCTCACAGTTTGTGGGTTCGAGCCCCGCGTCGGGCTCTGTGCTGACAGCCAGCTCAGAGCCTGGAGCCTGCTTCGGATTCTGTGTCTCCCTCTCTCTCTGACCCTCCCCTGCTCACACGGTCTCTCTCTCTCTCTCTCTCAGAAATAAAAAACATTAAAAAAAAAAAAAGAAACACTAAAAGAAACACTGCCACATCAAAACTAAGCACTGAACAGAAAATAAAATGTATTTAAGAAAAAAAATATGTACCTGTAAACCCATGTTCCCCTGTATCTTAAATGTATTTGCTTAAGGCTCACTGTCCCTCCTCATATGCCATCCCGTGCTTTGCTATAGACCAGGCTCCTTGCGGAAGGCAAGTCTCCGTGTCAGTTGCTGGTCCGAGCCCCTTCCTTGGGGAGCCCGCTGCCGCTGTCCGTAATGGCCATCTGAGCGGCACCTTGAAGATGCTTCTCCCACGGAACCTGAGCTGGCTCTCAGGAGGGAGCTGAGGCACGCGCTCGCCCAGGAGATGGCGTTGGTGCCTGGGGACCAGGAAGGTCCACGATGGATAGTGCTCTCCAGAGCGGCACAAGCCTTCCGTTCCTGCTGGCTCCAAATATAACACAGGCCCTCTTCATTTTAAAAATGTTTCAGTTTTCACTCCCCTCCAGTTTGTAATGATCTCCCCACCCCAACAGCTCTAATCTAAAGAAAAATTATGCGTGTCAAAGGTAATACCAGACCGAGGCCACTGGGCATCTTCATGAATGGGGGAGGACCAGAGTGGGGTGTGGGGGGCTGGTTTGCATTCAGAGCTGTAACTGCATCGTAGCGGAAGCATCTCCAAGGCCCCGCAGAGACATGATTACCCCCTGCTGGGAGGGTCGCACCTTGCTGTCCCCTTCTCCTGGCGCTAACTCCCATCAGAGAGCAGGAGAGGTCTTGTGATCGGAACTCACAGTGGCCATCCCTGGTCATCCAGGGACGCTGATTACTACTGACCAGTACCTGCTGATTACCTGCCCCTTCAGATGGTTTACTTCCCTTCTCTACAGAATGCTTTTTCATAATAAAGTTCTAGCCTTGTGTGCTCAGGCCCTCTCTTCCTGTTCCCCCACCCATGGCGACACCAGGGTCATGGCCCTATTCCTCACACACCTTGTGTTCAGGACCCATCTGACCTGTTCTTGATCCAGTATTTGGAGACCATGAGGTCTGGGCAGGCACCTGGCTGCCGGGTCTGCTTGCTCCTACCTGTGAATCCCCAAGAGCTCAGATGCAGTTGGGCCAATGAAATCCCTGGGCTATCTCGATGGCCTGACTCTCTGGGGGCTCCATGGATGGACCCTTCTCCCATTCTTGGGACTCTAGATCTCACAGGCTGCTGTCAAGCTGCAGGCCGGGGTCAGGCTCTCATCTGGAGGTTCGACTGGGGAGGGATCCACGCCTAAGCTCCCTTGTGGCTATAGGACAAGGTCTGAGAGCCCCAGCCTCTTGCTGGCCCACATCTGGAGGTCCCCTCAGCCCCTGCACGGCGTGCCCAGGGTGGCCGCTAGTGCATCAGACCAGCAAGGACAGTCTCTAGGACGCATCTGTGGCAAGACGGTCTTACACGATGTGAGGTAACCACCTGCTGACATCGCGTCACCTCTGCCGTCTTCTACCGGTCAGTAGGCCGTTGCAGTCCATCAAGGGGAGAGGACGACCCAAGGGTGTGAATGTCAGGAGGTGGGGATCATCGAGGGTCTCCTTAGGTTCTACACCCCACACATCAAAACATTATCACAAATGATACATGTGGGGCAATATTCTCACCAAATATTCTTTTGAAAGAACCAAAGTCATCAGGGTTCTGTTTTGACCCTCTACTTGTATCTGAATGGAGTCTTTATGCATATCAATAAATTATATTTGAATGGCCAAAAATTTTTTTGCATGTCATTTCATGGCAGGGACCCCGCATTTATATTTTCACACAAAGACCCTTAGAATTGAAGCCTGGTCTTATATAGATCATTGCTGTGTGTCCTCCAAGTAAATACTGAAGACTTACTCCTCCATGCGCTGGCCTGGACCCTGGGGACCCAACCCAACCCACATGGGCATGGCCTTAGCTGCCGGGGCAACATGCAAACGAACCCAGGATACAGACCCAGCGTGCAGAGAGGGAGGAGCCACCGGAAGGCCCTGCAGACGCAAGGACAGCTGGTGAAGTGGCAGAAGTGGCGGAGTGAGGCTGAGAGGTGAGGAGGAGCCGGAGCGTGAAGAGCCTCGCCCAGAAGTTGTCCAGGGCAGTCGGGAGGCGCTGAGGGCGCCTTGGCGGGGGCGGGGGGCCCCGGGGTTTGCAGTTTATTCCCTGTGGCTGTGACTGCAGGAAAGGGACTGGAGCAGAGGCAAGACTGCTCGGCGGGAGACCCCAGGAGAAGAGCTGGCTCAGGCCCAGATGAAGGTGGAGGTGGCGGAAGGGGGTCCAGCAGATGATGACACATCCTTAGGGAGGCAGACTGTCCCAAGGGCAAGGGCCAATCCAAGGGGCAGCCCTGCACACCATTCGCTGTCAGGTCGAGGAGGGCGTCGAGGTTGCACAGGTGACCGGATCGACCATTTGGTCACCACGAGCTCGGAGCCCAGGGTGCTGAATCTGTGCAGGACTAGATGGTATTCCTTCATCCTGGTCCCTGGGGGGGGGGGGGGGGGGGGG